ATTGAAGATGGGAGAGGGTAGAGGGAGGAGGCTGAGAGGGGTTGACAGAGGGGGGCCAGATTCAGTCACAATATTGCAGGAGGTGAGAATCCAAGCTGGAGGGTCAGCAGATTCCCAGGAGCTCTTCCTGCCTCTAGTCAGCAATTGAAGATGGGAGAGGGTAGAGGGAGGAGGCTGAGAGGGGTTGACAGAGGAGTGGCCCCACCCACCCAGGGGCCAGATTCAGTCACAATATTGCAGGAGGTGAGAATCTAAGCTGGAGGGTCAGCAGATTCCCAGGAGCTCTTCCTGCCTCTAGTCAGAAAGGTCCCAAAGCCCCCAGGTGTCCCCCAAGGTCAGAAGGCAGGACCCCACCATCCAGGTACTCCTTTATGGAGCAGTTAGTGGAAGCTGGAGTTGGAGTTACTGATAGCTGAGAGCTGTCCAATGATGTGGATGCTGGGAATTGAACTCATGTCTTCTGAAAGAGCAGCAACTGAGCCATCTCTTTGGCCCAGAGAATGGGTTGTTTTGTTTTTTGAGACAGGTCTCCCTGCATCCCCAGCTGGCCTGGAAATTGCTATGTAGACCAGGCTGGTCTTGAACTCACAGAGATCTGCCTGCCTCTGCCTCCCAAGTGCTGGGATTAAAGGCGTGCGCCACCACACCCAGCATGAGTGTTTTTTTTTAAAAAATATTTTATTATCTTTATTTTATGTGTATGAGTGTATTGCCTGCATGTATGTAAGTGCACCTGTGTCGTGCAATGCTCACAGAGGTCAGAGAGGGTGTCACTGGTCTTGAACTCACAGAGATCTGCCTGCCTCTGCCTCCCAAGTGCTGGGATTAAAGGCGTGCGCCACCACACCCAGCATGAGTGTTTTTTTTTAAAAAATATTTTATTATCTTTATTTTATGTGTATGAGTGTATTGCCTGCATGTATGTAAGCGCACCTGTGTCGTGCAATGCTCACAGAGGTCAGAGAGGGTGTCGGATTCCCTGGAACTGGAGTTACGAATGGTGCTAGCCGCCGTGTGGGAGCTGGGAACTGAGCCCAGGTCCTCTGCAAGAGCAGTCAGTGCTTTTAACTGCTGAGCCATCATCTTACAAGCCCCTCAGGGAGTGATTTTTGAGACAGGGTCTCAAAAGAGAGAGTGAAACAGAGACCCACAGGAGATGGGGTGAACAATGTGAGAAGGTGCCCTGGGCAGAGGGGACCCTTCACAGGGCAGAGGCCCGAGCAGGTGGATGTGCTAAGACTGTGACAGGCGGGCTAGGTTCTGTCAGCCATGGCAGGATGGGGAGCTGGGATGGGGTGCTCTGTGTTCAGTGGCTCATTGTCCTCCCATTTCTCTATCCCCAGGTCCAGGGCACCATGGAGAGTGCAAAGGGAATATCCCGAAAAGGCCGGAAGCTGGCCTCCAGCCGCAGGAGACAGACAAGAGAGCCGGCCGATGGCCAGGATGCCTCAGCGGCCCCAGTTCCCGAGTCCTGGTCCCCTCAGGCTGATGCAGAACTTCAGGACTTCTTCCAGAACTGTGGTGCTAAGGAGAGGGGCTTTGTCACTCGAGAGGACCTGGTGGTGAGCTTGAGGTCCCCATCACACCCCTGAATCCCTTTTCTACAGTCTCTTGAGTTTTCCTATTCTACCAAGGTGGGGCTGGTCTGTCCTTTCCCCTCTGACATCCAAAAATTGCTCTCAGAAAATACTAAGAATTTGTTTACACAAACATGTAGATGATGGTAAGATTTTATATATCATTCCATTCTGGAAACATTGACATTTTAACAAAGAAGATGTTATTCCAGAGAAGTAACACACAAATAGTACTTATGTGACTGGTTTTTGTTTTATTTGTAATTTTTAAAAACTGGTATGTATATGTGTGTGTCTGCTTGAGCATATGCCACGTGTGTGGGTACCTGCAGAGGCCAGACGAGGGCATTGGATACCCTGGAGCTGTAGATACAAGTGGTTGTGATCTGTCCAATGATGTGGGTGCTGGGACTTGAATTCAGGTCCTCTGGAAGAGAAGCAAGTGCTCTTTACAGCTAAGCCAGCTCTTCAACCCAATGAGTGGGGTTTTGTTTTGCTGTTTTGTTTTTTGAGGCAGGGTCTTTCTGTAACCCCGCTGGCCTGGAATTTGCTATATAGACTAGACTGGCCTCGACCTCACAGAGATCTGCCTGCCTCTGCCTCCTCTGCTGGGATTAAAGGTGTGCACCACCACACCAGACTCTGTGAGTGGCTCTGGAGACAAGGTCCCACTATATTGTTCAGGCTGGCCTCAAACATTTAATTCTCCTGCCTCAGCCTAAGTGCTGGGATTATAGGTATGCACCACTGTAACTCATTTTAGGTGTTTTGAGTGGGGAATTTCATCTTGGGGAGCAATCAAAACTCTGGAACCAAATTAGGTTGATGGCTGTAAACTTGAATAAAACTCAAGGGTGGCCAGGGTTGTGGGGTCCAATAAGAGGCCTTAGGCTATGGTCCAGACCAGGCTAGCCACATTTTCTTTGTTTTTTTTTTCTTTCTTGTGTGAGTTGCTCATGTCTCACTGGGCCTGAAGCCTCTTCTGGGCAATGCTCCAGGATTCATTTTGTCCTTTGTTTTTCAAGAATGACAGCTGGGCATGGTGGTGCACGCCTTTAATCCCAGCACTTGGGAGGCAGAGACAGGGGGATCTTTGTGAGTTTGAGACCAGCCTGGTCTACATAGTGAGCTCCAGGCCAGCTGGGGCTACAGGGAGACCCTGTCTCAAAAAGACCAAAAAAATATATATATATTTATTTACTTATTTTGTAAGCGTGGGTACTCACATGGAGGTTAGAGGACAGCTTTTGGGAGTTGGTTCTCTCCTACCACCATGCTTTGAGGCAGGGTCTCTCTTATTTCTGCTACTGTGCTGTATGTGAGCTTCTGGTCAATTCTCCTGCCTCCACGTCCTGTCCTCCCTAGGGATGTTGGAATTACAGATGCGTGCCACTAAATCCAGCTTTTTCTTCCCTCCCCTTTTTTTTTTGGTTTTTTTGAGGCAGGGTCTCCCTGTAGCCCCAGCTGTCCTGGAACTCACTATGTAGACCAGGCTGGACTTGAACTCACAGAGATCCGCCTGCCTCTGCCTCCCAAGTGCTGGGATTAATGGCGTGCTCCACCATGTCCAGCACCTCCTTTTTTTTAGACATAATCTTATTATGTAGGCCTGGCTGACCTGGAACTTGCTATGTAAACCAGACTGGCCTCAAATTCACAGAGATCCACCTGCCTCTGCTTCCCAAGTGCTGGGATTAAGGGCATGGACCATCATTGCTTGGCAACATCCAGTTTTTTTTTTTACATGGCTTCTGGAGATCAAACTCAGGTCTTCAGACTTGCTCTGTGTTACATGCAGGATTGTCTGAGAAGATGTAACAAACACATCTTCTCAACCCAGGAAGGGAACTCATAACAGACCAAGGTCCAGCTTAGTAACCAGTGAGTTTTTAACTGGGGTTACAGGAGTACGGGGTGGGGGGAGTTAGGCAAGGAGTTGTTTACTGTTTCTGTAAAACTGGAGAGGGACCCTAGAGAATCTTGCAAGTTTCCACTTTCCCAGACTGGGGTTTGTTTACCTTATGAGCTCCCCACCTTCAGAGGGAATGTTTCAATTAGAAGGAAGTAACTGCTAATCAACCCAAAGCAAGAGCTTTGATTCACTCCATCAGCTCCCCAGCTGAGTCTAGGATTTTTAAACATTTTGTTTCATTTGTTTATTTTTTTTGAGACAAGGTCTCCCTGTAGCCTCAGCTACTACATGGACCAGGCTGGCCTTGCTCTTACAGAGATCTACCTGTCTCTGCCTTCTGAGTGCTGGGATTAAAGGCATGTGCCACCACATCAGGTTAAACTTTTTATTTTGAATTATGTGTTTGTGTATCTGTGTGTGGGTATGTGCATGTGACCACGCTTGCCTGCTGAGACCAGAGGTATCAGGAACTGAAGTTACAGGTAGTAGTGAGCCATCCAAAGTGGTTGCTGGGAATTGAACTTGGGTCCTCTGGAAGAACAACAAGTTTATTTAATTGCTGAGCCATCTCTCAAGCCTCAATATTTTTTTTTAAATCCTAGACTTGGGTTAGAGAGATGGCACAGCAGTTAAGAGCACTGGCTACTCTTGCAGAGGACCCAGGTTCAGTTCCCAACACCCACATGGCAACTAACAACCATCCATAACTCTAGTTCCAGGGAATCTGATACTGTCTTCTGGCTTCCGCAGGCATTGCACATATGGGTGCATTTACATATATGCAGGCAAAATACTCATACACATAAAAACAAAACCAAAAAATAGGTGTGGTGACACAGACCTGTGAGTCTAGCATTTGAGAGGATCAGGAGTTTAAGGCCAGCCTTAGCCAAGAAGAGCATTCAAGGACAGCCTAGGCTAAATGAGACCTTATCTCAAAACAAACAAGCAAACAACAAATTCCAACCAAACAAAAATATATACAGTATCAACTATCTCCCCAGTATACACTCACAGCTGCCTTCCCTGCAGACATTCCATCAGAGCCTTGTGATCATTTCTCCTGCCCCCCCCCCCGTGTGTATGTGTGTGTGTGTGTGTGTGTGTGTGTGTGTGTATGTGTACAAGAGAGTTGTGGAGGTCAGAGGACACTGTGAGCCAGTTCTCTCCTTCCACCAGGTGGGTCTCAGGAATTGAATTCAGGTCTTCAGGGTTGGTGGCAAGCACCTTTACCCACTGAGTCATCTCACCAGCCTTTGATCACTTCTGTCCGGCTGGCTCTTAGGGAATCTGTCTGCAATAGAGATCTTGGCAAATACTCAGTCCTCTAGGCCAATGTGAAGGTCACCCAAGGCCAGTCTAGAAACCTGTACTCCAGTAAAGAAAAACCTGGGACAGTCCTTTTTCTCTAGACTTGGACTTACTTTTCATGGTTGAAGACACAAGCTGGGGCCTGCAGCTCGCAGCAGGGCCTCTAGGCATGGCAGGGAGCCTGTCTAGTGAGCCGTTGGAAATGCTGTGGGTATCTCTTATAGCAGCTGACAAGATGAAGTGGAACTACCACTCTTTCATTTTAGTTTTTTGAGACTCATTCTCATGTAGTCCAGGCTGGCCTTGAACTCACTATGTGGCTGAGGCTGGCCTTGACTTTTTGAACCTCTTGCCTCCCCCTCCCAGAGTACTGGGGTGTCAGGTGTTGCCATCCAGTTTTTGTGGTGCTGGGGATTGAATTCAGGGCTTCACACACGTCAACTAAATACCAACTGCACAACATCCCCAGCTCAACCTTTTTATCATTATTATTTATTATTATTATTATTGAGATATTTTTTTAATTTTATGTGTATGAGTGTATTCCTGCATGTAGGTAGGTGCACCCCTGTTGTGCAGTACCCCCGGAAGTCAGAAGAGGGCATCAGATTCCCTGGAACTGGATTTAGGACAGTTGTTAGCTGCCATGTGGGTGCTGGGAATCAAATCTGTAAGAGCAACTGGTGCTCTTAAACACTGAGCCATCTCTCCAGCCCATTATTATTATTATTATTATTATTATCATCATCATTATCATTATTACTGAGAGAGAGAGAGAGAGAGAGAGAGAGAGAGAGAATTTGAGTGCCACAGTGAGCATGTGGAGATCAGAAGACAATTTTCAGGAGTTGGAGTTGATTTTCTTTCCCCTGAGGTTTCTGGGTTGGAACTCAGGTTGGCAAGCTCTGTTAGCTGCTGAGCCATGTCGCTGGCCCCACTTTTTTTTTGTCTGTTTAAGACAGGGCTTCCCTTTAGTCCCAGCAACTTCCCTTGGAACTTGCTATGTAGACCAGTTTGATTTCAAACTCATAGATCTGCCTGCCCCTGCCTACTAAGTACTGGGATCAAAGGTGTTAGCCCCCATGCCCTAGCCTCTCAAGTGCTAGGATTATAGGTATGTGTCACCATGCCTAGCAAAAATAAAAATGAGAGAGAGGGTGTGAGATCGAGGCCAGTCTGGTCTACATATTGAGTCCCTGGCCAGCTGGGGCTACAGGGAGACCCTGTTTCAAAAAACCAAAAAATGTCAGGCATGGTGGCACACACCTTTAATCCCAGAACTCCAGAGGCAGAGGCAGATGGTTCTCTGTGAATCTGAGGTCAGCCTGATCTACATAGAGAGTTCCAGACCAACCAGGACTACAGAGTGAGACCCTGTCTCAAAAAATCCAAAAAAAAAAAAAAATCCTCAAAACCAAACAAAAGTATGTTACCTTATTAGTAGTTGATCACCTACTTAATAAAAATGACCAGAAAATAAAATATTTTGACATTATAAACATTGGAGTAGGTAATGATTAAGACAGAAATTAGCTCTTTCATAAATAGGTGCCTCAGTTTTTGTGTGTTTAAAGATTAAAAGGACAGCGAGATGGCTCAGTGGATACAGGAGCCTGGTGACCTAAGTTCGATCTCCAGAACCCATGTAAAGGTAGAGGGAGTGGTGGGCTGGTGGTGCATGCCTGTAATCCCAGCATTTGAGGGGATGGAAGCAGGAGGATCAGAAGTTCAAGGTCATCTTTGGCTACTTAGTGAATTTGAGGTCAGTTTGGGCCACAAGAGATCCTGTCTTAAAAAAAAAAAAAAAGCAAAAATGACAATAACCACAAAACCCCTAGACTCTGTTACCTTTAGGATTCCCACTGAGAGCTAAGAGCAGAAGCCACAGTTGCTGAGGAGAACCTGCTTGGAGCTGTACTGAGTACTTGGCTTTGTGGATGAGTGCTCAGTACTGGGCCGGCTCTTAGGATAATTAAAAGAAAGTTTTCTAAAAGGTAAAATCGTGACCCATAGGCAAATACAAAAGAAACTCATGTCAAAGTTTTATTATTATTATTAATGTGATGTGAGTATGCTATCACTGAGCCATATCTGAGGCCCTTGGAGATTCAAGTTAACTCATTAATTAGCACTATGAATGGTCCAAAGAACATTTTGAAAAGCTGTGCAATTTAACAGAGACATTAGAATCAGATTGCTGAGTTGGATTTTTTTTTTAAAGCTGGTAAAAGTCCAACAGGTTATAAATCTTTGGAGTTATCTGTCCCATCAGACGGAAGTTATTTATATCACTCTTGGACAGAGGCTGCAAGTTAACATGTGACTCTCTCATCTGGATTTTTCAGTCAGTTCTGTGTGATGAATCGCCTACATCCTATAGTCTAGAACAAGGTTTCTTTACATTTTCTCTACTTTGACTCCTTTTCACTGAGAAAATTTTACCTGAGCTGGGTATATAAAATAGGTATACAAATCAAATATATATTGATAATCAATCATAAAAAATAATTTAGGGGGCTGGAGAGCTGGTTCAGCAGTTAAGAGCACTGACTGCTCTAGCAGAAGACCCAGGTTCGATTCCCAGCACCCACATGGCGGCTATGAACTGTCCTTAACTCCAGTTCCAGGGGAATCTGAAGCCCTCTTCTGACCTCTG